GCCAAATCTTTTCCTTCATAAATAGCTTTCTTTAAGGCTTTTTTTATTGTTTTTACAGAGTTTTCTGCGGCTCCATTACCTTGTGGTCTATATGGTGATGAAGTAGAATGTCTAATTGTGTTTTTTCTACAAAAATCATTAAATTCGTGACTCTGAAATGGGGGACCATTATCCGTCACCAATTGTAAAGGCAAACCAAATATTGAAAATAAATTACGAAAATATTGAATAGTGTCACTAGCTGAAGTACTACATAACAGTGTTGCGTCTAACCATTTTGAGTTGGCATCGACTACCACAATATAGTACTTTCCATTCAATTGTGCACAATCGGCATGTAATCGTTGCCATGGTGCCGCAGGGAACTCCCAAGGATGCAGTGAGGACCGCGGTGGGGCATCACGGACATTCCGGCACGCCTCGCACTCACGTCCTACCCTCTCAATATCGAGGTCTATCCCGGGCCAATAAACATAATTCCTGGCGATTGATTTCATTTTGATCACCCCTAAATGACCTTCATGTATCTCTGATAATATTTGTTGTTGTAATTTACTCGGAATTACTACACGATATTTATATAATATACACCCATGTTCCACATATAGTTCCGTCCGTCTATTGTAAAAAGGTTTCTCAAATTCCGTTAAAGTTACATTCGTCCAACCATACATAATGTAACCATATATTTTTGACAGCAATGAATCGTATTTAGTTGCGACAGCTATATCTTTATAATTAACTGGCAAAGTTTCATTTATTAAATTTAAATAATGTGATTCATTATTTTTGCCTATTGTATTGGTTTTATTTGACACCTTTAGACCTAATTCCCCTTGCAGTGGTAACCTAGATAAGGCGTCTGCGTTACTATTATTCCTAGAGCTCACATATTCTACTTCAAAATCATAAGCTGCTAGTTTAATTGACCATCGTTGCAGCCTGCTCGCCGCCGTCTGTGGTATACCTCCTTTTGAACCAAAAATGTATGTCAATGGCTTATGGTCCGTTTTTAATACAAATGATCGGCCGTATAAAAATTGATGGTGCTTTTGCACACCGTACAAAATAGCCAATGCCTCCTTATCTAATTGACTATAATTCTTTTCGGCGTTCGTAAGTGTTCGCGAAGCACAGCTGATCGGTCGCTCGGTACCGTCTGGATACCTATGCGCTAAAACTGCCCCTAGTCCATAGCTACTACTATCTACCGATAGTAACAAAGGCAATGACGCATTATAATGAATTAAAACTTTGTCACTAGACAGAAATTGTTTAACCTCCTGAAACGTTTTCTCACATGTTTTGTTCCAATTCCATGGTGAGTTATTTTTCAATAATTGGTACAAAGGATGGAGGAAGGAGCTCAAATTCGGAATAAATTTTCCGTAATAATTAATTAGTCCTAAAAAAGCTTTTAGTTGTGTTACATCATCTGGCTGTGGTGCTTTCAATATGGCTTCCACTTTTGATAAATCTGGATGTAACCCTTTTTTGTCTATTACAAAACCTAAGTACGATACACTAGTTTGTAAAAAAGAACATTTATTAATTTTAATAGTGAGGCCCATTTCAGTTAATCTTTTGATTACAGCACGCAGGTTTTGTATATGACTGTACCTGTCGGGTCCTGTGACACAGATGTCGTCTAAAAACACTACTGTATTCGGAAGACCGCGTAGGGTCTCCTCCATGATTTTTTGGAATTTTTCCGGTACACAACTTAAACCATAAGGTGTACGTCGAAATACAAATGTACCTAGATGCGTGGATATGGCAGTCACCGCTTGGGAGTCCTCTTCCAGCGGGACCTGCATGTAGGCAGTGGTGAGATCTATTTTCGAATATTCTTCTCCTTCGCTTAAGGCAGCAAATAATTCTTCTATCCGAGGCAGGGGATAATGATCTCTTTTTAATTTAGGATTTATAGTTGTTTTGTAATCTCCACAAATACGAATTTCACCTGATTGTTTAATTACTGGTACAATAGGTGTTCCATAATCGGAATGTTCGACGGAATATATAGAACCCTCCTTTTGCAGTCGGTTCAGCTCACGCTCAACCGCCGCGCGTAACGCGAGCGGTACCGGTCGCGCCCGCATGTACACCGGTTCCGTGTCTGTTAACTGTAATCGGATTGTTTTTTTACATGTGCCTAACTTATCTGTAAATACTTGTGGGTAATCTTTTTTTAATTGATTTACAATATTAGTACGGAACTCGCTATCATCTCTTTCACAAATACTATTAATATGTAACTGGTTAATATTGAATCTACGAATCCAGCTCCTTCCTAACAGTGGGCGACTACCATTTTTTATTACATATAATTTTAATTTATTTTGAGTAATTTTATTAATACACGCGTTTACCACAATATAACCTATAGGTTCTATAGTCGAACCAGAGTATGAACACAATTTAATATGATCGCTTTGTAAAGGATAATGAGTAAAAAAATCTCTATAATAATGTTCGTTGATTGCAGATATCTTACTACCGGTATCGACTTCACATCTAATTATCTTATTGTCTATAATAACGTCCACAAAATAAGGATTGTCTCCGGAAGACATCACCCGTATATTATATAAATCACTGTCTGATTCATCCTCGATGAAATTGTGTCTTTTATTCTCTGACGTCTTACACATCACTTTCAAATGACCTTTACGCTGACACTTATCACATGAATAATTTTTAAAACGGCACTTATCTGCTCGATGCGGTTTACCGCACCGCCAACAAGTGGCGCTCGCCGCCGCCGCGCTCCCCGCGGGCCGCGCGCTGCGCACCGCGTGCAGGCCGTCGGTCGGCCTGTCGGTGTCGGCGCCGCCGCCGCCGCCGCCGCCGCCGCCGCGCGCCCACACGCCGCCTGCGCCCGCGCTGGTGCCCGCGCCGCTGTCCCGGCCGCCCGCACCGCCATGAATAGCGCTCGCCTCGGCATGTTTATCAGCAGCCTCCAATGCCAGAGCTAGTTCCACCGCCTTTTTGTATGTTATGTCTTTTTCGGCAAATAAACGCGATCGCATGTCATCACTGCTCAGACCGGACACGAACTGATCTCGAAGATTCTCTTCGAGCATCGACCCGAAATTGCAGGTCGTCGCTAGATGTTTTAAATTTTGCAAGTATCCGGACAGCGATTCACCTATTGATTGCCGTCTCAACCTAAACACATGTCTCTCTGCTATCACTGAACGTTGTGGTTCGAGGTGGTCTGCCACTATTTTTTCGAGCTCCGTGAACGTTTTATCTTCTGGGTTGGCCGGTGCACACAAATCACACATGAGATTGTAGGTGGGTTCACCGACTAACGTAATTAATGTCGCGACTTTCAGATTTTCTTTAATTTCGTTACACAATAAAAATTGTTTGACACGTCGCACGTATGCATTCCATTGTTTGGTATGTAAATCGAACGGTTCTATTTTACCCACGGGCATGTTCACCACTAATATCAACTTTTTATAACACAATTACACTTAAAACGGTTAATTATAGTTATTATCGTTTAGTTTTTTTTTTTTTAACTCGTCGCCAGTGTAACGTCAGTGAAACAATGCAGTCAGTTACTAACTGGTTTATTGAAAAAAAGAACAAATCTCTCCACCCGTCTTAATATAAACTATTAAACTACCCTCCAATAGGCATACCTATATTTGTATTTACCTATGTTTGCCACTCAGTCAGGCTTAAACGGCTCAATGAATTCGAATAAAATATTATACACGAGTGGAATTTACTATATAATCCCGGCATACAATAGGCTACTAGATCCTTTTCCGTGGGTGTCGTAAGAGACGACTCAGGAAACTTAATGGTCGAGGGATGAACAGTAGTTTATGAACAGTTAAAATTACCAAAATCTAACTGAGGTTGCCAACCCGCCTGCCAAGCGAGGCAACTATTTCCAAAACCCGCCTTATTGGAAAGGTTCAGCAGTGGACAGTTAAAGGCTACCATAATTTGATCGAAATCGGTTTGATTTTTACATCAGAATAAAAAAGTTTTTCCAAGTTTGAAGTCGTTTTTCTATTGTGACCCTAAAGACTAAAGTTTACAATGCGAAGTACTTCAAAAAACGCATAACGAAACTCCCTAATGGTGGAAACGCTCGCGTAACACTTTTGGAATACGGTAACTGTTTATCATCAGGCGGGGCGGGTCGTACGCTCGTTTGATATGATCATCATTCATCATCTCAGTCATTATCTGTCCACTGCTGAACATAGGTTTCCCCCATAGATTGCTACAAAAAAAGGTCCTGGGCCACCTGCATTTACTGACACCCTGCAGTTTGCTACCGTAGTAGTATATAAAAAACTAATGTACGGTAAGTTTAGTATATATACATAGAGATACAATAATAATTCAATTGTCTATTTATATACAAAATTATTAACTCTTACGCCGTAGTTTAAAATCATTATCAGACTTTACGGGCAGTATAGAAGCATCGCGTACCAGATTTCAACGTAACGTAATAACTGATATTGGTTTTCGTTTAACTTATGAACCGGCAGGATATAACGTTATAGGTATCAGAAACCGTACAACGATGGATGTTTTATGTCTTCACCTAAAAGTATAGAATATGATATGCTTCGTTTCTTAATTTAAACTTGCTTAAATATTTAGCTCTTAAAAATAAACTCGCTTCTGAACATAAGCCTTTTAGGAGAGTTTGGCAGTAGTTGCCACGCTTGACAGGCGGATTGGCAGTCGCAGTTAGGCTTTAGAGATATTTTATGAGGAACGTTGCTGTCCATCCCTCGCTCTCCCTTAGCCGACTCTTACGAGAAACGCCCACGGAAAAGGAAGGGGTGGCCTATTCTATGCATGGACCACACAGCACATTATAATTATGTTGACATTAATTTAAAAATCGCACTGTTGATCACTAGACTCTGGTGTATATATAATTCTATTTACTCTTACTATACTGGCCAGATATAAATTGGCTTGGTATAGATATACGATAATAAAATAAAACTTACCTAAAAGTCAATAGACCCCAGTTTTCCATTGCGCCAGCTTTAAAATCTGGAAGCGCAACCATATCTATCTTCGGCAAAGGAAATGTAATTTTGTAATAGTCTTCAAGGAACCTTAATATCTTCGGACCAATATCTAAAGCGTATTCTGCAGACGGTAAGGCCTCTTTTCTAGCCCAAACCGTAAAGTTCTGATCACTTTTGTAGCCAAAGTCTGTGACGGCGAATGCGACGAGGTACGTTGACATTGGCAATGATTCAGCGTAGTGATCCCATACATAATCCGACAAGGTGGAACTGGAAACAAGATATTATTGTAAATCTCAGGAAAAACTTTTAAGGAAGATTATTTAGTATCTAACTACCTTCACATTCATTCTGTTAGTTCGGGACCCACGTTGGGCGCCAATATGGCACATGTTTAACGCGTTAGTCTAAATCTTTTCTGGTGCATGCATTTATATAGTTTTGCATTGTAATCTCATTTCATCAATCTTCCATATGACATTCTTCCTATATGTCCGAACCTTCCATATACTCGAATCGAATTATTCCTATCTATCATTATTTGAGTATACTTACTGGTTTTCCCTCCTAACAATATTCATGTTAGAGACAGAAGTCATGTTAGCTGGACGCGCGATGCTTATTGTGAAACGCGCTTTCAAAGCCGGCTCGTCCCAGCACGGGAAGGCGCGGCGGGCATCGGTCGCTTGGAACTGTGTAACTGCTATCCATCTGTACATGTAAGAACATGATTTTTATGTGATAAAACAATTACTAACAAATTATAATTTTAACAATTTAATAGGTACAAAAGTGCATACTTTTAAAAATAAAAATAAATAAAATTATTTTACAAAAAAAGACATTAAAAAAGGGGCGAATTCTTTAACTCTAACTTACTAATATTATAAACTATTTTTTGCGGCTTTTCCCGCGTGTATCAATCTACAATTTATCCTTTTTTTAACTAAAAAAAATAACTTAGGAAAAAATTTCATTCCACTTTGCTTAGCATTTATTCAATTATGTTTCAATGGGGGGAAAGGGATTGTTTGTAATGAGTTTTCACAGCCCCATTGCTAGCAATATAGTTTATCAGCTTGACGCCCACGCGGTTCCCCCTGGAAACCATCATAACTAATTCATGTCAAATTCTTCACGATGGGTCAACTGACCTGCCTTCATCCTCGGTTATCATCCCTCACTGCTGCCCCGCTAGCGTATACCGATAACGCAGGCGGGGTTACCATTCCATTTTCACTAGTTAAAAAAATTATGTTTCGACAGCTGAACGGATTTGAATAGAATTTGGTGCACAAATAAACCATAGTGTATTGTGTGTTATTATTTTTAATATTATTACATATTTAATGCAAGCATCACCGCTGGAAATAACATTAAAAATACCGACATATAATCGGCCACTTTTTCCTTTCCCATGTGTGTCATAACTGGTAACTAAGGAAATTTATTGGTCGAGGGATGATCAGCAGCATCCCTCCTAAAACATCACTAAAAGCCTAACTGCGATTGCCAATCCGCTTCCTAAGCGCAGCAACTATTGACAAAACCCCCCTTATGGGGGAGGCCTATTTAAGCAGTGGTCAGTTAACTAGATATTTAATATATTTTACTTCATCTCAATCAATCACAAAAATCAAAATTAATATGTTCTAACCACTAGGTTTCTATTTCTGTGAAATTAATTTAATTAATTTACTGGGTACAGAGGAATAACACTTGAGTTCTCAGGAATGGCAACGCATTAGGGGTATCATAGGCTAAACAGTATACTCTGTTATGTCCATGGTACTGTTCATGTCTATAGGCGACGGTTACCATCAGGTGGGCCGTCAGCTTGCTTGCCATTCTAAGCTGTATAAAAAAAATGGTAATATCGTCCATTGGCACGTAGATTATAATAGACAGTAGATGAGGTAAAAATAAAAAATAAATAGAAAATAACAAAAGAAGATCCTTCAGATGTCGTATCCTATCAGCCTATAATAATCAAGACGAATGGAACCAATTCAAACACGATGTGACTTTATCTACATAGAAAATCTTACTTCGTCATTCAGTTTTGTTTTTCGCCAGATTTGAACAGACGAAAAATTTAAAAAATTAGAAAAAAAATGTTAAATAGATTTATATTGACCACCCAGATTCTGGCTACATAATAATAATTAAAAGACCCCCCACTAAGACAGTAACATTAACTCCTTCTCAAGGCCGAATGTAGAAGTGTTATTACTCAGAAGATCGTGTGCATACACACAATATTTCTAGCAAAACGTAATTGTTATACTATTAAATAAATCATTTGTATTCAACGTACTCCGTTGGGTACATCGTAAATAAGGTTTCCGTGAGGAGTGTCGTATGACCTCACACGGTTGAATATAAAGCAACCTATTGTCCGCTCGGTGTAGGGAACTCGATTACTTCTAAATTTACTTTTTAAACGACTTCCAACAGGAAAAGTCCGAATATCGTCTTTATTTTTGTACGCGATTACGACATCGATTCTTAATCGATTTTAATAATTATTTTTGCAAATCATATGCTTTACTCTCATATTAATAACGTATGAATTTTGATGAATTTTAAGGAGACTTGACTGCCATCAGGTATGAGAAGAATGAGCTTTACAGTGTTTACTGTCAATTCCATAGTTCTAATGGTAAAGGAAATTGTTAACAATAGGATCTAGCGACTCCATTGCAAGCAATAATAAGCAATTAGAAGAGAATTGAAATCTCTTATGACATTCATTAATTCCTGACGAATACATCGCGACGTGTGCTCTCGCCATAGTATCGGCACCTCTTCCTTTCTCGTGGGTATTGTAAAAAGTGACCAAGAGACTTAATTGTCGAGGAATGGGCAGCAGCGTCCCTCTCAAAACATCACCAAAACCTAACTGCGGTTGCTAACCCGCTTGTTAAACGTGGTAACGCTGGCAAAACTCTCCAATTGGAGAAAGCCTATGATCAGCAGTGGTCACTTAATGGCTAATTAGATATAATGACATCACGATGGACCAACTGATCTGACTTTATCCATACTTATCTTCTCTCCTCGATACTCTGTCAATATACACCGACAGCACAGACGGGATTACCATTCCATTATCATGACTTAAAAATATCCGTGATTTTCTCCACATGTGTAAATAGCAGTTACAACTATCCATGAAGTGTCCTATCAACTTGTTTACCATTCCAAGTACCGTGTATAAAAAAACAATTTTGAATCATTTTCAAACTTACTTCGTAACATTTTTCTCTTCGTACGAACTTCTATAAAATCCATGAAGATTGTCATTCAGGATGCCAGTATACGTGATATTCAACACATACTGCTGTCCCGCCTTCAACGTTTCAGCTAACGATAATATGTGGAACTGCCTCGGAACATCTTCTGTGCGTCTTGTTATTTTCAAAGCTCTTCCTTCACTTTTCTCAAATAGTTCTATGTTATGGAACTTTAACTCGACACCATGAAATGTCACTTGTTGAGTATCATTTTTTACAGTCAACACTATACTCGTCTCACCATCAAACGTAAAATCCCCCTCGTATATATACGGAGTTAGTTTAATATAATATCTATCTGGTTTTATATTAGTTGGAAGTCTAACATCAGTAATGGTTGGAACATCTTCTGTGGTATTAAAGAATGAATTAAAAGTCGTCGATTCAGGACTTCTGTCTGTACTTAAAGGTATAACTAAGAGTTTGGATTGGTCACAATGGGTTAGCTCGTATTTTGTGACATTTGCCAAATGATCAGTCTGCGGGCAAGCAGCGAAGTTGTAGACTAGGAAAGATGTGGCTACAAGAGCTAATGCGAAAATGACGAGGATGACGAAGGTAAGACTCTTGGATAAGTAAACGCCCCGCTTGGTCTTGGTGGAGAAGTCACAGGAGGGCGGGTTACCGTCCATTATGTTGAGGGGTTCACGTGCTTGAGTCATCACATCACCATTTTTTCATCTGAAACAAAAAATAATAATAACAATAATTTATTGAACAAAAAATTTAAATGCAAATAATATATAGAAAGATATTTACGTTACATATTGATTTACAGTAAGTGTCTCTGGCCTCCATGCTAGGAAAGTCCTGTATTATGAAGGTCAGGCAACCGTCCTTTACAGATTTAATTTACTATATAAGTTTAAAGAATTTTTTATTAAAAAAAAATATAGAATTAAAGATTTAACTGCAAAAGAAAAAACAATAACACTATTACAAAATATAGATAAAAAAGTTTTGATTAAAGCAAAAACCAATTTGACAAATTCTTTTAATAGTTTGTCAATACCATATGAGGGTATAAAAGAAACATTTATCGTGTGGTTGAAACTAAAATCAAGCTAGCTGAGTTTCTATAGGTAACTTCTACTACTACGCTATGCCAATGCCAAAGTTACACAGTTCGTGTGTGTGTTCATCCTTAAATCTTTTTCCAATTTCTTATTTATATTTATACAGTACGAAAACTTTTAGCTCCTACGAAATATTTTATCACTATACAACATAATATCCCTCTTATGCGAAAAGTAATAAAGTTCTGTATCAATTGGGGTTGCGTCATCGTTATGTAAGTCTTAAATAAGTTGCTCGAACACGTCGTTCGATCACGTCCCTTATGTTATTGACCTTACGGATACTATGAGATGATATCCCTAAGGGTTACTACAAGGTTACGTGTGATATCATTTTTACTAAATATTGTCATGTTTAGACTATATAACTTGATAGATAGGTTCATGCCTTCAAAAATTGTTCTTTATATCTAATTTAAAAGCAAAATATTCTTGTTATACATTTTTTATTTAGATCTTGTAATAATTATAGTATTAAATTTACTAGCATCGATCTATAAAATTGTAAGATCTTTACTTATAGGAAACATTTCAGAGGATTCATCTACATCTACATTTACCTAATCATTTATTTATAGTTGCCTAATTTCCTTATTTCTTGCCATCTTGCCTTGTTACTTACTGTAATTAGCAGGTAATTTATTCCTGTCTATTCAATATTAAATGTTCTATTTACTTGTAGAAACTTTGCTGATTTTTATATTCATCAGCATCATATCAGCTTTTAACTGTCCACTGCTGAACAAAAGCCTCCCCATTGTGGGGTTTTGCCAGTACTTGCCATGCTTGGGAGGCGGATTAGCAACCGCAGTTAGGCTTTAGAGATGTTTTAAGAGGAACGCTGCTGCCCATCCCTCGCTCTCCCTTAGTCGCCTCTTACGACACCCACGGGAAAGGGGGTGGCCTATTCTATGCCGAGACCGACACGGCGATTTTTGTATTATATTTATGTTATATATGTGTTAAGTGTAACAAGAAATTTTATATTTTTCAAATAAAATTAAAATAAATAGTATATGTGCATGTGCATATATTCTCTTGTCTACGGTCGACTGGTAAATAATGTCATATGGCATTAAGTCCGCAATTTACACTAAGTATATTTCAATTTAATAAAATGGGAGTGATCATTAAATTTTTTTTTGTGATACTGTGAAATGTATTAGTTTTATTAAATACTTTTAGACGCAAAATTCATTTATTTTAATTAATTTAAATAAGGATATAGCACTAATGTTTATTTATTAATTATTAAAATTTAATAAATAAATAAAAGAGTATTTCTCAAAAGTGAAAGAGATGTTTCCAAATTAATAGTTTACTCTTATTATTATATTTATATTTATATATATTATACGTATATGTCGTAAGTCAATTTGACAAGAATAACTTGTGAGACTTTTATTATAACACAAAAATGTGTCGTAGAACGTAATTTTTTTGCATCACAAAATTAATATATAATATAAAACATAATTGTAATAAGTTCATGCAAACAATTTTTTTTTTATTTTTATAATTTTTTGTAAGGCGCACACATGAGCAGTCGATCTACCTGACGGAAAGTGGCTACAATCGTCCATGAATGCAACAAAAGAAGAGTCGCTTGTACGTTGCCGGCCTTTTAAATATTTCTTGAAATGCCCCATATTATTAACGAATTGATAACGGAGAAGTTTCTTAATTCACTATTATTTTTATTTTTAAAGTCGCTTATAAAATCATTTCACACTTCACGCTTCAACAAACTGTCCATTGAGCATTTGGTCGTCTCATGTTGAATGTCAATTGAGTAGCGAAAACTAGGAGATGGGCTATCCATTGTTGCGAATAATTCCACTTTGTAGCTACGTCGACATAACCAGAGAGATAAAGTGGTCTTTTAATATGCATTCTAATATTTTTAAGGTACTATCATAATATTTAAATAGTGACAGCTCAGTAGCAGAACAAATCCTATAACATAAGTATTATTATTTGTATCTATGTTTCTACGACATAACTTTTTTATTCTCTCTGGTTTGTCACTATTACAAACTAAGAACAAGGAATTACATAGAAGGAATGATAAAATAAAAACTGCAAATCATATGGTTGGCTCCTTTCTTCTTATGCAAATATATTTAGTAAAAAGATGACGAAAGATACACCATCAGTTGTTATTTTTCTCAATTCGTAGCAGGCTAGTGTATAGAAAATGTTTGATTTTTCAAATATTTGATAATAACAAATTTTACATTACTAGATTATATATTCGACACAGTTTATGTAGAAAGTATGCAAGCAGGTTGTATCTGAATTTGGTAGGGTTATACGGCCGTATAACATTTTCTATACACTATGAATTGACAATTTTATCACTCCTTCTATGTAATTCCTTGTTCTTAGGTTAGAAATTAGCATGCCAGAGAGAATTGTGTAGTTATAATGGACCACACTATATAGCTTATCATTACTGTTATCACTATCTAATAAATAAAATAAATAAACAGAGGGCCTACCATGAATTGTTTTCCGAAATTTCGGAGACAAACGAAACACAAATTTGACGTTAAAATTACATAATTTATGCCGTTTGGAGATATTAAAAAGGTAAAAATATTGTTTCTTTGGACTTTTATGATAGAATGTATAATAAACGAAATGTTAAACTCCATTTATTGGTCGGATTTAGGTATAAACAAAAACATGAAATTGAGTCTGAAATTTCGGAATTTCATTTCATGGTAGACCAGTAGATCTCGGAGTTTTCAAAATCATATTCGAATCAAACAAACATGTAAGTCATATTTTTTTTTATTTTATTAATAATTTAAATGTAGAATGATCTAGCATATAAAAAAAAATCTGTAAATATATTATTTCAGATAAAAAAATAATTTATCAAATCGTTCAGAATTATATATATATATATATATATATATATATATATATATATATATATATATATATATATATATATATATATATATATATATATATATATATATTAGGTTGTCTCTAATTTAAAAAAAAAAACCTATTTATATCTATACCTCCTTTTGAGGGTCAACGCTCGACCTTCCTGTTAAATTTAAAGTTATGTAGAGAATATGAATAGCATTTACCATATGTATCATACTATATTGGTCAAGTAATTTTAAATTTTTTTATACAACTTAGAATGGCAAACAAGCTGACGTCCCACCTGATGGAAAGTGGTAACCGTCGCCTATAGAGTATACTGTTTCGCTCAAGATATATATTTTTTTATGTGTGTTAATTAAATAGTAACCCCACCCGCGCTATCGGTATACACTGGCGAGGCACCAGTGAAGGATGATAGGTGATGATGAAAGCAAGTTAGCCCATCTTGACGAATTCAACAAGAATTGTTCACGATGGTTTCCAGGGGGAACTACGTGGAGGACGACCTAATAGGGCATATTGCTAGCAATGGGACTGTTAAACTCCATTGCTAATTTCCCTTTCTAATAATCCCTTTCCCCCCGCTCATCATCATTATCATCATATCAGCCCTTAACTGTCCACTGTCCACATCGTGTTTGAATTGGTTCCATTCGTCTTGATTTATTTATCTTATAGGTTGATAGGATACGACATCTGAAGGATCTTCTATTCTTATTTTCTATTTATTTTTTATTTTTACCTCATCATTTTTACCATTTAGTTTTTTTTTTATACAGCTTAGAATGCCAAACAAGACGGCCCACCTGATGCAAAGTGGTAACCGTCGCCTATAGACATGAGCAGTACCATGGACATAACAGAGTATACTGTTTCACCTATGATACCCCCCATGCGTTGCCATTCCTGAGGACTCAGGTGTTATTCCTCTGTACTCTGTAAAATCACGCCATATCCCACCCTTCAAACCGAAACACAGCCATGCAAACACAACTTCTTCACGGTAGAAACACTAATGGGACAGAGGTACCCAAGCAATCGACTTTTGTACAAAGTCTCCCTCTGGTAGAAAAATAAAAAAAATTGAAAGTTTTTAAAATGGATTAAAAATGTACCAATAAAGGTAGCAAAACAGAGGGTAAAAGAAGTAAAGCATAAATGTGACGGACTTTTATCGTGATTCACTTTGTGGTACGTGCAAAAAATATTTAAAAAATCAATACTAGTTTGGTACTATAAACATTTTGGTAAAAATAAATAATAACATCCGGCAACCCTGACTTGTATAATCGTCACTAGTAATAGTAAATCGGGGGTAGTAGATACGGGTAAGAAAGCGCTCACTAAATCTATTTTCTCTCTAATATAGACACCATCATTCTTAATTGTGTGTTGACAGACTGACGGTCGTAAATCCGTGACCGTGAAGAGTAACAAATTGTTTGTAACGATTTTAATTAAAAAGTATTAAGGATGGATAGTTCGAAGAGATATAGAATGAATTTGGAACTATACAATCACAGATAGAAACAAATGAGAATAAAAAAGGTATCTGAAATCAATTTATTGTATATACGTTTCTCGATTTACGTGACAATTTAATTTACGATTAATTCTTTAGTGATGGAACACCCATATCAAGTAAAATTCTAAACAGATGGAGACTTTATACAAAAGTCGTTTACTCGGCACCTGTTC